TCAGGTGATTATGAGATTTTTCTTAGAAGTATTATGATTACAGTGAAGTTCTAACAATTTGATGACTGATATATATCCATAACTGATGCAATTTTATTAGTTTTGCTACCATAGAGTTAGTATAGCGCATCAGATTTGAGCCTTGTTGTTTTCTGTGCTCCTTTGTCAACAGTCTATAGAAACTAGTACCCCACGTGTCTCATAGACCCATCCCATGTTTGGTAGACTTAGATGAGTTGTGTAATTATTGTCGCAGGATAGTGAAAGTGTGCAACAATGAAATAAGAATTTTCTTTTTCTACGAACTGTTGCAGATTATGTTTTGATATGTTGACTATATCAATTCGTTCCAAGAAAGACAGATTGACTATGTTATTCAAGTAGAAACTAGATTCTAGTAAAATGTACTCTACTCTCAAGGAGATTGTCACAAAACCTCAAGCTATTTCCACGCTAGAGGATTTGTTTCATAATTGACCAGAATAAATCTGCCTATGTTGTCCTTCCGGTAAATCTTGTCATTTAATTCCTGAATTAGTCATGACCAGGAAGGTTTGTTAAACTCATTTAATAGTTTTGTTATATTGACATACTGTTCACCCATCTGTGATTCTGTGTTATTGACTTAAGGACTTGGACTGAGTAGTATTCAAAAGTCCATCGCTTGCACCTATTTTACATTGTGCATTACTGTTTGTATTGTTGTTTGTCCAGCTTTGTTGGTCAATAATGTGGAGGCTTTATATATGAATGCCCAGCAGAAGTTTCCAATTGGAGCAATAGTTTAATAGCAATCAAAAATTTGAATCTGAATAATTTATCTCATTCTCGTGTTTCAGCTTGCTGGTGTGGTAGCAGTGGAGGTTACTGGTGGACCTGACATCAGCTTCGTTCCTGGGAGAAAAGTATAGTTTCTCATTCTTCTAGACATTACAACAGTTGGCCGGTTTTAGCGCTGAAGAAAATAACCATAAATACTGTATGTTTCTTTTTGATAGGATTCAAAGGTCTCCACCAGGGAAGGAAGACTTCCTGATGCCAAACAAGGTACAATAATACTTCTATCGTTTATAGTATACTTTGCTTTTCTCTATTGAAATTCTTTTCATGGAACTGGAAGATCTTTTCTATGAATTTACCTTGTTTATTTGATTGTAGGTTTTCAACATCTAAGAGATGTATTCTACCGCATGGGACTATCTGATAAGGATATTGTGGCACTCTCAGGTGCTCATACTCTGGTAAATTCATTGGCCACTTACTTAATTCCCGCTGTTTTTTTCTTTTGGGACAAATAAAAGGTATTTGTGCTGATGATCACTTTTTGGTGTTTAGGGAAGGGCTCATCCAGAGAGGTCAGGCTTCGATGGGCCATGGACTGAAGAGCCTCTGAAGTTTGATAACTCCTACTTCGTGTAATTTTTATTTCCTTATCCTCATAGATTCTTTGTCTTTTTGAAATTTTTCTTCCAAGAAGAACAAGCAGCAAACAGCTACTTTACTACAGGATCTGTTTAATCCACGAACTAATTACTGTGTTGGTACCAGGGAACTGCTGAAAGGAGAATCAGAGGGCTTGTTGAAACTCCCAACTGACAAGACTTTATTGGAAGACCCGGAATTCCGTCGTTATGTTGAGCTCTATGCAAAGGTAAATTCGAGTATTGAGCAGCTGCTTGCATGTATATATCTCATTTGCCCTGTTTTTGTGCTGTTAGATGTTATTTTGACAAGTTGTACCGGTGTTAACAGGATGAAGATGCGTTCTTCAGAGACTACGCTGAATCTCACAAGAAACTCTCTGAGCTTGGTTTCAGCCCGAGCTCCTCAGCAGGGAAGGCGGTTGCAGACAGCACAGTTCTCGCACAGAGCGCGTTCGGGGTTGCGGTTGCTGCTGCGGTTGTGGCGTTTAGTTACTTTTACGAGATTAGGAAGAGGATGAAATAAATGGGAGTACAAGGAAAACTATTCAGATAAAACCCTATTTTACTGCCACAATATGCTAAACTCTTTTAATCCACCACGATCATACTGTTTTGTTAGTAAAAAGTCAAAAAGTCAAAAAAATAATATTTTGGGGTAAATTTCATGGTTGGTTGGTTGCGTAACCGTTCATAACAAGGATTGGTTACTACCATTAAATGATTGAGTATTGCTTACAAGATTTGTGGATATCTAAGGCCATCATTATCAAGACATACTAACGGATGTTAGGCTATTAAATAAAAGCCAAAATAATAAAACAGTTCTATTGGAAGAAGTATTCGGTTCGATGTGAAGAGGTTTTTGGAAGGAGGTTCTTGTGCCATGTGTAAAGTGCTGAGTGGTTAGAAATAATTATTAAAAAAAAACATTTTTCATTTTTTATTATTCTATCCCAAAACATTTTTCATATTTCATATTTCATTATTCTATTTAAACATATTTCAAATGATTAACAAGGTTTATAAACTTTGTATTAATTTAATAAAATGTTTGTGTGCTTTAATTAATATGTTTTTATCTTTTTATGTTTCTCATTTTAATTAATATATTTGTATCTTTTTTTTTTTTTTAACACTATTTGTATCTTTTTATGTTTCTCATTTTTATGTTCATTGTTTTTTTTTGTTACTAATAATTTTGAACGGTATTTTTTGTTTCTTTTTATTTTCAAATCAATTGTATGTTTATTTTTAAAAGTTTTCAATTTAAAAGTTATTTATTTAATTTGAAAATTTGAAAATATATTTTATATTATATTATTAAATTTTTAGGATTCTAAAAATTCAACCAATAATCAATTCTAAATTTTTGGTTCTTAACTCAACCTATTATATTATTAATATAATTAAAAACCTCTAAGATACATCTTCTCACTTATCCTCTTAATGATGCTCTTACAAAAAGATGGGGTAGTAGTAGATATCTACCAAAGTGGGACATCATAACCTGAAACTGGACCTAACCTTTTGGTAGGTTTAGTTAGGTAGGAACCTTCTTTGAAATTAATAACCTTTTATTATTTCTTATTTGTTTCGTATTTTTCATCACTGAGGATAACTACTAAATTAGGAAATATCCGTTGGAACTGAGATGGTATCGGTACTCATTGAGGGTATGATACATAGTAAAAGTCGTATAGTGTATCAAAAGTTTAAAATAAATTAGTTTGGTGTGTGGTTGTGGACAACAAATCACATGTGTATGTATGTATACTCTAGTCTATCCAATAATAATTTTTTTTTTTTTCATAACGAAAAAAAATAGTATTAATTATGTCGGTAGGAGTTGGAAAAGTAAATGTGCACCATGAAATCTACCAAACTCGTTTGTAATAAGATTGTCTTTCAGGTATCAAACAAACTTTCACCAATAAAGCTTCTTTCCTTTTTCCAAATAAAGAAGTCCAAACAAGAATATAAAACCCACAATCATTTATTCCATATGTTTTCTTCGTTACTTATTTTCAATAAATATCCCCCACCGTTTTGCTATTTACAAATACAAAGCATTTCATTTATGTCTGTTTTTTATATATATGATTGTAACTTACTGTAAATACTTTTTTACATATTGCTACACTCTATTGATGCTATTTAGCTAATTCAACTCTAGTGTTGAGAGAAATAATGCAACACTCTATCAATTTCCCCAAATGGTTTCCTATCCAAAACCATTATTATTATTATTAGAAATTAGTTGGACGTTACGATAAATAGTAAAGGATTGGTAAAATGGTAGTTGAGGAGAAGTAAAAAGGTCACATGTTTGGGGAAATCATTTAAAGGAGAAGGAGAAAGCAGGTACAACTCCACTCTCTTCTCTATTTTCCTCCATTTACTAATTTCAAACTCCATGTGAGGAAGAGGTCATATTGTTGCAGCCAAATCTTATACCAAACCTTAATTTAATGTCACTTTCCCTCAAACCAACCTTGTTTGTGCCTTCTAGATATGAAGTTACATCTACTCCTATGTGTTTTATGAATACCGTTAAAATAGTTCAAAGTCTAATTGGTGGTTGTCTTGAATTTATATTATGCAACGAGAGATAACATCTACCTTATTCTTATGTTTTGTGGCTGTCATCTTTTTGCCGATCAAAAGAGTATCAACATTGAGTGTAAAGATATGAAACATGTTTGTTGTCTACATGAAGAATGAAGAGAGTCGATACGATCTTGAATTTGAGCACCAATGACGCATAATTATGATATAACGTACATATTTATAAACCTAGCTAGCTAGAACCATAACTTCTTGGTTAACTAAACAAATAGTAATACGCTAGAACCATAACTTCTTGGTTAACTAAACAAATAGTAATACGTAACTAACATTGGTTTTTAAACTACTGATTTCAATAGTATAACACTTTGGATGCTCTTTACAACCTCCTTACCAAACTCACTACAACAAATGCTATTTTCTCATTATGTAACATAAATGTCCATAATTTTTGAAATAAATTCGAAGCAGTACGAAAACTATCCTACTTCGCTCAAGAAAGTATCTTTTTAATTATGTTCTCTAATCTCACAGACTCAAAACCATCTAACTCTTTTAAAAATTTGACGACCAAGTATCTCGAACCAAATCGTATTTGTGGAATTATCACGTAAGAAAACGACATGAACCAAATTCTCACTATCCAATTACGTAAATAAAACTATGATTAAATTTAGAGAATATGCAAATAACTATAGAAAAATGTGAAGTGCAATATATATATTGATCACACAGATTACAACAAAACAAAACGCATATGTCGCCATTCAAAAAAAACTCGAACGTGTATACATAAATAAATATGTACGTTATATCATAATGATGGTTTCACACCAACTACTAGGTTTTAATAAAGTACAACAAGTTTGAAAAAAAACCCGTAAAAGCCATAGAGCGTTTTCTCATTGAGATAGTGAAGAAGAAGAGATCGTGTGAAAGTTGCAGTTTATAGTTTTGATCCAAAACACAAAAAACAAATACACAATTTTATAAAGAAAGCAGAGAGACGGAGCCCACTAGCCACTCCTTCAAACGTGTCTTACCAACTCTCTTCTAGAAACAAATTTAGGCTTCACCTTCCTCCTCCAACCTCTCCCTCTCTCTCTCTCTCTCTTTCTCAAACCATCTCTCCATAAAACCCTAATTATATTTCATATCATCACAAGGATCAGAAGAAGAGGAAGATGGGGAGGTCTCCTTGCTGCGAGAAGGACCACACGAACAAAGGAGCTTGGACGAAGGAAGAAGATGACAAGCTCATCTCTTACATCAAAGCTCATGGTGAAGGTTGTTGGCGTTCTCTTCCTAGATCCGCCGGTCTTCAACGGTGTGGCAAAAGCTGTCGTCTCCGGTGGATTAACTATCTCCGCCCTGATCTCAAGAGGGGTAATTTCACCCTCGATGAAGATGATCTCATCATCAAACTCCATAGCCTTCTCGGCAACAAGTGAGTCACACATCATCATATCCTCTGTTTTTTTTTTGTTTTACCATCCTCTGTTTTGTTTTATTTAAGAAAGGTTTGTTTTTTACACTCTGTTTTTTTCTTTCCTTTTTTATAAAGGTGGTCTCTGATTGCGACGAGGTTACCGGGAAGAACAGATAACGAGATTAAGAATTACTGGAATACACATGTTAAGAGGAAGCTATTAAGAAAAGGGATTGATCCTGCGACTCATCGGCCGATCAACGAGACTAAAGCTCCTCAAGATTCCTCTGAATCTAGTAAAACAGAGGACCCTCTTGTCAAGATTCTCTCTTTTGGTCCTCAGTTGGAGAAGAAGGAAAGTTTTGAGGATGAGAGAGCTCATAAGGGAGTGATTTGCAAAAAGGATAGAGTTGAGTACTCGTACTCAGCTTTCGAAGGAAGATGTCTAGATTTGAATCTTGAGCTAAAGATCAGCCCGCCATGGCAAGACAAGCTCCATGATGAGACGAGCATGCGGTTCCGGAGAGAGAAGCATATGTGCACATCGTGCCGTTTTGGATTTGGGAACGACAAGGAGTGTAGCTGTAATAGTGCGAAATGTCAAACAGAGGACAGTAGTAGCAGCAGTTATTCTTCAAGCGACATTAGTAGTAGCATTGCCTATGACTTCTTGGGTCTAAACACCAGGGTTTTGGATTTTAGCTCTTTGGAAATGAAATGAAATATATAAAGAAAAGTTTAATAGCTCTGAATTGTGATATTAAAATTTAACAGACTCGTTCATGGTGCTTACTGCTTACAATTCATTCTTGTCAGGATCTGTCATCATATTTGATAATCTACTAAAAAGATTTGAAAATTTTCGAATGTTAAGGGTGTGTAATGGTTACGTGAAAAGACATATACTAATACTTTGTGTAGTAGCAGTAATTTTTAGTCGATATCCCAACAGAAGTTTGACAAATGTCGATGGTTATCCCCAAAGAGATTTGACATATCGATGAAGTGGATAAGCTGTGTAAGGATGAGAAGCGTGAGAACGATTGAAATGTTTTCTATTCATTTGCATACCTTTTGGCATATTCCGTTGTAATAATTTTGAGTACTAATTCAAAGCATTACACTGTGTTGGTAAAATGTCTTAATCGAATGAATGTTTTTGTTCGCTAGATTTAAACAACAGTCACTAACTTTATTTCCAAAACTAAACAAGAATGTAGGATTAGAAATTAACTAGTGTGGTTTCCAAAAATATGTTCATTGTAGAAGAAAAAAGGGACATCAACCTAAAACTTTTGTGGTTTAGTTTTTGTATCATCCTAGTGGGTACAGTGGGTTTTACAAGTATTCAAGCTATATAGTGTTAATAAGATACAAAATTTCAACAAGCATATATAAGATTGAAGTATTGAACAATATCTAAACAGTGATATAAAAGTTCTGTCGACACTATTTAGTCTTTGAATGATCATCAAAGTTATTCATCTCTCGTTCGTAATAATAGATCTCAAAGAGCTCTCCAAAAGATTTAAACCACGTCCGTAAAGCTACTAAATCTTTTCTTTTAGATAGAGTATAGAGATCAATATGGTAGAAATAGAGAGATGAGCTAGAAACCAAAACAAATACTAATACAAGTTGACCTTTTGCATGAATGATAGTACTAATCTGGTTGAAGTAGCAAACGAAACATTTGGAGTTGAGCCACTTTTATGACCAACTTTAAACTAGAATCACACATTATATTAGCCTACCTAGCCAACTAAATAAATGGCCTACTAAGGTAGATAGATATACCGAAAAAAAAAAAGAGATAAATGAGTAGCCCAATGCACCTTACGGGCTTTTCAACGTTTGGGATTAATTTCCCACTGGGTCATTTAGTGTAGTAGGCCTGTAAAATAATCTCAAAGTAACGTCTTCATAAGAAGGTTGGATGATATAGCCGTTGGTTTGGTAATTGACGAATATAGTAATACTGAGGATCACTAAAAGTCTCTGTTGCGTCGCTTTATTGTCCAATTGTAGCAGCCACTCAGATTCTCTCTGCTCTACTCCGCTCCTCCACCCAAAACATTATTGAAATATGAAACGGAACCTTTTATAAATAAATATATAAAGAGAAAACACACAATTCATTCACAATACTTAAAAAGCCAACTAATACTATATGATTAGTTGATAACTAGTATCAGAAGATGTGATGAGTTTGTTAATTAGTAGTACTGTATATGATGAGATGTTGTTGGGAAAACTCGACCGTTAGAAGTGGATCGTCATATTATAGTTACGATGATCTCACATGCATGTGACCTCTCCAGTTCCTGGATAAAAGTGTGACTTCCCCAGTTCCGATGTCCACTTTTGTCTCAAACCAACAAAAAAGGTTGAATCCTACATAGGGGTGACCTCGTTCTTGCGCTAAACGCTGTCGTTTCGTTAATATCTCTGTCCACTTGTCTAGTGTGGAGCACTCAACCTCCCATCTTCTTTGTTCATGCAGATAATTAAACCAAAACAATTGTCATCACAAACATTTTTTTACAGTACTGAAATAGTGCATGAGACAACACACTAGTTTTGCATTATTTCTTTCTCAGACTTACGTTGTCGTTTATTTATATTTATAACTCATGTTCATATTTTTTAAAAACACACACATGGGATTTATATAAATTGTATTTTTGTGACTTGTGTTAATCACACCATTATATTACTATTTGCCAAGAATCATACATACTAGCGACATAGTACTAGGAATATTATGATATAGTAAACTAATCACATTCAAATTAATTTTCATTAATTAAAAAGGAAAAAGAAAACAGAAGTAAATAAATGAAAATTGGCTTTATAATTAAAGAGAGGAGCACGCAGCAATGTCATGTCGGTAAAAGCCTCCCACTCACTTCACTTCCCTTTCCCACTCCTTCCTTCTTCAATGGCTTCCCCCTCCATCGTCGCCGCTATTCTTCTCTTCTTCTTCTTCCTCTCTTCTCCTCCGTTCATCTCCTTCGCTGCTTCTCAGTCCGCCGCTAAGACTTTCATCTTCCGCATCGATGGTGGATCTATGCCCTCTATTTTCCCGACGCACTACCACTGGTACAGCACCGAGTTCGCCGAAGAATCTCGAATCCTCCATGTCTACCACTCCGTCTTCCATGGTTTCTCCGCCGTGGTTACTCCTGACGAAGCCGATAACCTCCGTAACCACCCGGCGGTTCTCGCTGTTTTCGAAGATAAGCGTCGTGAGCTTCACACTACGCGCTCTCCTCAGTTTCTAGGTCTACAGAATCAGAAAGGACTCTGGTCCGAATCCGATTACGGATCAGACGTTATCATCGGCGTTTTCGATACCGGAATCTGGCCGGAGAGGAGAAGTTTCTCAGATCTCAACCTCGGTCCGGTTCCCAAACGGTGGAGAGGCGTTTGCGAGTCCGGAGCCAGATTCGGTCCTCGGAACTGTAACCGTAAAATCGTCGGAGCAAGATTCTTCGCCAAGGGACAACAAGCCGCCGTGATCGGAGGAATCAACAAAACCGTTGAGTTTTTATCTCCACGTGACGCCGATGGGCACGGCACTCACACTTCCTCCACCGCCGCTGGACGTCACGCTTTCAAAGCCAGTATGTCCGGTTACGCCTCCGGTGTAGCCAAAGGTGTTGCTCCCAAAGCTCGTATCGCCGCTTACAAAGTCTGTTGGAAAGATTCCGGTTGTCTCGATTCCGATATCCTCGCCGCTTTCGATGCCGCTGTATACGACGGCGTCGACGTCATTTCGATCTCCATCGGCGGTGGAGACGGGATAACTTCGCCGTATTACCTCGATCCAATAGCTATTGGCTCTTACGGCGCCGCGTCGAAAGGAATCTTCGTCTCTTCCTCCGCCGGTAACGAAGGACCTAACGGTATGTCAGTTACGAACCTCGCGCCGTGGGTGACCACCGTTGGTGCTAGTACGATCGATAGGAATTTCCCGGCGGATGCTATTCTCGGTGACGGACATCGTCTCAGAGGCGTGTCTCTTTACGCCGGTGTGCCGTTAAACGGTCGTATGTTTCCGGTTATTTATCCCGGTAAATCGGGAATGTCATCGGCGTCTCTGTGTATGGAGAACACGCTTGATCCCAAGCATGTGAAGGGTAAAATAGTGATATGCGATAGAGGAAGCAGTCCACGTGTAGCGAAGGGATTGGTTGTGAAGAAAGCAGGCGGCGTCGGGATGATTCTGGCTAACGGCGCATCCAACGGTGAAGGGTTAGTCGGAGATGCTCATCTTATCCCAGCATGCGCCGTTGGATCAAACGAAGGAGATAGGATCAAAGCTTACGCTTCTTCACATCCGAATCCTATTGCTTCAATCGATTTCAGAGGAACTATAGTTGGGATTAAACCGGCTCCGGTTATCGCTTCTTTCTCCGGTAGAGGACCAAACGGTTTAAACCCGGAGATTCTAAAACCGGATTTGATTGCTCCCGGAGTTAACATCCTCGCCGCGTGGACCGACGCTGTTGGACCTACTGGTTTGCCGTCCGATCCGAGGAAAACGGAGTTTAACATTCTCTCAGGTACTTCAATGGCGTGTCCTCACGTTAGTGGTGCGGCGGCGCTACTCAAATCCGCTCATCCAGATTGGAGCCCCGCCGCGATTAGATCCGCTATGATGACGACGACGAACCTCGTGGATAACTCCAACCGTTCGTTAATCGATGAATCCACCGGGAAATCGGCTACGCCTTATGATTATGGATCGGGTCATTTAAATTTGGGTCGGGCTTTGGATCCGGGTCTTGTCTACGATATCACAAACGACGATTACATCACGTTTCTATGCTCGATCGGGTATGGACCAAAGACGATTCAAGTGATCACAAGAACGCCGGTGAGATGTCCGACGAGGAGGAAACCATCACCGGGGAATTTGAATTATCCGTCGATCACGGCGGTGTTTCCAACTTCGAGAAGAGGATTGGTGAGCAAAACCGTTATACGGACGGCGACCAATGTCGGGCAGGCGGCGGCGATTTACCGGGCGAGGATAGAGTCGCCGAGAGGAGTGACGGTGACGGTGAAACCGATGAGGCTTGTGTTTAATTCGGCAGTTAAGAGACGGAGTTATGCGGTTACAGTGACGGTTGATACAAGGAATGTAGTGTTGGGAGAAACGGGTGCTGTGTTCGGTTCGATCACGTGGTTTGATGGTGGGAAACACGTGGTTAGGAGCCCCGTCGTGGTGACCCAAATGGACTCTTTGTGAAACCAATGCGCGCGGTCATGACTTATGATCGCTAAAAACCCTTATGTTGGTTGAGATGAGAGGTGTAGCAATAACTGTAGAATTTTGAGTTAGCTCTTTCTTTTTTTTCTTTTTTTTTATCTGAAATGTTTTATCTTTTTATTCCTAATGATATGATATTATATCCTGTCTTTGTCTTTTTTTTTTTAATAGAAAAGAAAAATGATTGGAAAAAACCGTTTAATATTTTTTTTGTCTTGATCATAAAATAAAAATAACAAATGATGAAGGCCAAAGTTGAATGATGTACAAAATAATCAAATCATTGTACCGGAACAGTTTAAGACCCCAGATTTATAGGCATCATAATGATATAGAAGATGATTGATTTCGACATGAGAAAGAGAGATGATTGATTTGAGCAAAGTGGCATAATAATGGTCCATATAAAATTTAGATATTTAGATATGTATGTATGCCTTTGACGTTTTTTAATCTGAGTTCCCACCTAAAACGTACTAAATGGGCAGTGAGGACCCATATCTCTCTACTTGAGGATTATAGCTAAGCACACCACACTAGTCAAGCAAATTACTAAAGGATGTTAAAAGTGCATTTTCAGGATGGACCTAATTTTGTCGTCAAAAAGATGAAATTTTTTGTTTTCATTTATAAATTCCGCATGCCAATACCAGCATCCCAACTAACTATTTGATATTTTTGGTCATACAAAAGAAAATAGATTTCTTAACGCAGGTCCACCCATATTGTGTCTAAGGATCAGAAAGGAAAAAGTAAATCTAATGCATGTATATCATATGAATCTTACAGTCACTAGTCATATAATTTTTATGGATTGTGTTTACAAACTTTTTATAGAGGAAGAAAAAAGAAACTGTCATAGTGTGGAATTTTGGAAGATAACAAAATTCACACTTGCTTGTATTGTGTGGGACGGGACGAAGGATTGGGAGTTTCGTGGACCTCTGCTTACAAGTTACGACATTGGGTCCATTTGTGTGTGACAGGCCAGCGGTATCAATCAACAAAATTATTATTCACACATGTTAAAAGTAAAAAACTTTTGTTTTTCAACCATAAAAAGTTGTAAGCTTTTTAAAAGTGGGGAGGTTCGTTCTTCGACATTGCATCATCTGCAATAGTTACTTATCAATCTAAAAGTACAATTAGATTGAAACTTTAGCTCCTTATAAACATATGTTATTATAATTATAAAGTTGTGTCTCAACTCTCATAATATATCTACTAAAGTATGAAAAAAAGCAAATGATGGGGGTGCATGAAACGGTGAATTTGGAATTAAATACATAAAAAAACTGTACATTTTAGTCCATCATGTCGTGGGTGCCACCCAATATGAAATGGTTTTAATGGGAAAACGAAAAAGCAAAAACGATGCTTTCGTTGAGAGTTGAACTCAAGACCTCCCGCTTACTAAACGGGTGCTCTAACCAACTGAGCTACGAGAGCCTTTTTTGCTTCTCTATTTAAAGATAAGCATTAAAACATGAATATAAATTAAAGAGATGAGAAAGTTGTGTGATTTGGGCTTAGTATATTATAAATATGGGGCCGAGAACCCAAATGAGCGGTTGCAATTGTGTTGTAGGCCGTATAACTATTCTATGGTCATTGCCTCTTTATTAAATATTTAAAGATCCATTGAAAGATTTGGACCATGGGAGATGGGTTTATACAAACTGGGTAAAGTCTGTATAAAGCCCAACTATTAATAATACACTTATCCTCATAAATCCTCAGTACAATACAAATGTACTTAAGCCTTCTTTTTTTTTTATTATCATTACTCATTAGGGACTACAAAAAGAAACAAAATACCATTCAACAATTAAAATTGAAACACTAAAAATAGTTTAGAACTATTGTCAACAAAAAGGAAGGAAATTACTTGGTTTTGACAACAAAAGGGAAGAAGGTTGATTAAGCACTAAAATAAAGATTAATAGATAATTAATTGCTGCTCATAACTGTTAATAATTAACAGCGAGTAAGTAGTAACTCCGGTTATGGTTTATTTAGCCCGGTCCTTGATTTTATCGAAGCCCATCTCGGTTGGATCGGTGGCTTGAAGCTCGAAGTGAACGCCGTCTAACACTCTTCTCAGCCCGCTCTTTGACGTTGCATACATCATCTTCTCCCTTATCCTCGACGCCTCCGGTGACCTTCACACACCATTCAAACTTACGATTACAAAACTGAGCGTAACGTTTTGGTATATGATTGTTGTTTTGGATTTGGTTTATTAGAAAAAGACAAAAGGCTCTGGACTTCGAAGGGTATAATGGTAATCAAAGCATTGAAAATGACCATTTTGCCCTTACGATTATCACCAACGAGTCACACAGGATTACGTAGAATTTATGGTGAAAGGGTAAAAACGAGACAATATGAGAAATCGAAAGAGAGAGAGACTGACCAGGTGATGAAGAAGATCTTGCTCATGCGACAGTTGTCGACAGTGACGTAATCGAAATCGAAGACGGCGTAGCGGCAGTCGTCTTGAGGCAGAGAAGCGGCGAGATCGTCGTAGCTCTCGCCGGCGGCACCGACTTTGTCGACGGTGACTTTGCGAGACTTCTCCTCGAGTTTGTAAACGACGTATCGGTGCACTTTCTTCCACTTCATCTCCATGAACGATCTCTTGCAATCATCCGTCATCCACATACCACTCGTCGTCGTCGCCTATACATCATCATATCCCAAGAGAGAGAGATGACTAATTTGTTTTTTTTTTTAATTTCATAACTCAAATGGAAAAATAAATAAATAGTTCTTTTATGGCTTTACCGTCTTCATCAAAGCCATAGTGAGCTGAGCTAAGAAGATGTCTTCTTCTTCTTCTTCGGCTAATGTTTTGAGTGTAATAAGAGAGAGCTTTTATTATGTTGCTGTGTGTTGCTGATATGAGAGTGTGGTTTGGGTGAGCTTTATATAGATAAGTGTTTATATGATTGCCATTTAGTTTTCTCTATTATTACAAAACTACCATTTCCTGAAATTGGCATTTGTATTTATTTAAATGTATTATAATTAGCTTCATGTTTAAAACTAAATATCAAAATTAGTGTTCTTTCTTCTTATTTTTGATTTCAGTAAAAAAAAAACACAGCTATTCAAAAGTACTAATTATTTCTTTTAAATTTGAATTCTGTGATAATACCAAAGCAAAAATCTATTCAAAGATAATAAATGTTTCCAATTGGGGTTAAAAGAAAAAAACAATTTGGGGATGGAAACTTATCACTATATATGATCAGAGTTGGGAAATTCACCAATTTTAAACTATATTAAGTGTTTTGTTTTCTAATATTTTTTCTTCAATACCAAAATTAACGTTTCCAATTAGCTAATAGATGTGTGTTTTCCCGTGCCTGTGTTACAAGTGTAATACTACTTGATCTATTTTTTTAATCATACTTTATCTTTCCAAATACTAAATAATTATATAAATTTTCTTAATATTGAAATACTGTTACATAGAAAATAATAAATGAAAAACTCTAAAGATGAATAAAACTGCCAACAATTTTTTAAGGTAGGATCACTTAGTGTGAGACTAAATTACTTGCATATAAAGTTCAAGACATACAAAAACTGCAATATATATATATATATATCCTATAACCAACATTATTAGATTTGATTATAAACCCAACATATTTTAACGAAAGCACATAGAACATTTAGCAACATTAAATCGAAAACAAATAACAAACACGTATATAGATTATTTTCGTGTTTTTAAGATCAATAAACACATATAATCGAGAAAAGCTGGTCCAAAATAATAGGATTGGATCCACCAATGCCTACATTCGCATTGTTTTCTCCAATTTCGTGTTACTCAAAATTCAAGCGACCCTTTGCGTGGAAGCTAAGGAATGAGACCGTAGATAAATTTTATACTATTATTAGATAACAAAATATATCGGGTTGGACAACCAAAAATATGTGAAGCACCAATCAAAACTTCAACTTGAGTTCCAAGAAAGAAAAAAAACTCATATGTGGTTCTTCATCCATGTAATAGTCGAAGTGAATAGGCCAATGTTCTTGATCAAATTTATAAAACTAGTCTTGATTAATCGTAATATTTGGTGTCGGTGGATAACCTAAAGATACGGTGAACGCCGCTACACAATCCCAAGAAGAATTTTGCAGTCCCAAAGTCTTATATAGTCACTTCCCATGAAATTGTCTAGTGCATGTATGGTTTAAGTTGGGCAATTCAGACCCTTCATTGTATCATGCGATGCGTTTTCATGCATATATATGTTTTGTTTAATGAAGTTAGACATAAGATAGATAATGGTTACATTTTGCTGATATGTACATATAAACATGAGTTTGCTTGTGTGGACCCATACCTGTTATTATTCGGGTGCAATTAAAAAAGCACAAACACTAAAATCTAAAGTTATGGAAGAGTTGTGGCGCATAAGGTGTCACATTTGGTCTGTCTCAACTTACTTTCAACCTAATTCGATCTTTCTGGATCAGAGTGTGCGTAGTAAGAGTTAACAAGTACTGAATCACCTTGAGACATATGTAAATGTATTTCATTAAGGTTTCGTAGTCTTTTTGCACGTTGTTATACTTAGATCTAATGTTTAAACTAATGTCGAAGCAATCATTCACTACTGGTTTATAAATAGTGATCAAAGGATGAGATTGAGGGGACATAACCATGTCTGTATACACTTGTGGATAACAATAGCCCATGCACGAGTTTGATGAGGTGTAACCGTGTAAGCAGATTATAGCATAAGCATGTGTCGGATATGTCTTATGATTTGTATTGATTAGTTTCCGTTTTGTAGTTTGTTATTTGGAGGATTTGTTTGTCCATTTGGTGGCTTGTCTTCTAAAGTTGTTAAATAGTTAGGCTGTGGACTTGTTGCGCTATACTTGTGTTCCTTTCTTCTTTGGATTCATCTCTTTTATCATACCATCATCAATCCATTTCATCCATTTTTTTTTTGTTTTGCTTCAATAGTGTCTCTTTCGAGATATCTAGAATCCAAACCTTAAATTTGTGAAATTGTAGGTCTTGATTTGAGTATATAGATGATTAATTATGCAGATAAATGTAATTAGCAAAGACGTCTGAGGACTTTTCAACCCAACCAACCCACATAAGCATAAGTTAGGATTGTCTCAAAAGATTTATATACACGAAAAGTAGGTCGAGGAATAGTAGAATAGAATGCTAGTTGGCAAATTGTTTCGATATTTTTGGTCGTTTGTGCTAGTCAGAACTGTATCATACATAAGAGGTGAAACCTGAAAATAATGATATCATTATCTACATAGCTGTAGAGTGAACTAAAAGGTCATATAAATAAAGTCTACAATGAAACTTATGAAAAACTTTAAGTGAAAAGCTACAGGTGCTTCCAGCTTTAGACACTAACTACATTGGCATTGTGTTCAGAATTCAGATTATCGCATGTGCGATACTATAAGTAGAAAAAAAAAAAAAACACAGAGAGAATCTCACAGGAACAGAACCAGATTTTGAAGTGATGTGTATTTTTAGGTCGTCTTTTGTCATCTTTCTTCATCCCATTTCTCTTTAGGAATCTCTCCAGAATCAGCGATCACAACTTTTTTCCTGGGTTTGCCACTGTAAGTTCCAGCTCCACCTTCAATGGCAAATACATTGTCCATTCCTTGTATCACCTTCCCCAACACCACATGTTCTCCTTCCAACCTGCACCACAGTTTTCACAATCATCAAATCTTACTTTCCAAAATCCAACACTAAGTCCACAAGGAGTTTCCATGTGTTTTGAATTTCACATGATATTCTAATGTAGAATTCGAGTGCATAATCTTTTTTCAAACTGCATCTAGGGTGGATCCCTAGAGGATAGTCACAGGACTTTCCCAAGAACAAAACTACGAGTGTGTCTGCCTTAAATTTGGAGTTCTTGATATCATATTTTTAGTATGTTCTTTGTATGGAAAAGTGATTTTCATTGTGCATGACGTGAGAGCATGAGAACTATGACGAGAGGAGAGCTTACCAGCTAGCCTTAACAGTAGTGATAAAGAACTGCGAGCCATTAGAATCAGGTCCTGTATTAGCCATCGCTACAACACCTACATATGCAAATTCGTTTCCCAATGAACTACAAGAATACATGTATGGCTCTCAAAATGCTTAAAAACAAAATTTCTGAATTTTTCTCTCGAATTTCATATGTTGGTAGAGAGTATATGAGCACCTGCATGTGAATGCTTTATCTTGAAATTTTCGTCAGGGAAGGTACCACCATAAATTGACTCACTCCCTTTTCCATCACCACTGACAATGTCTCCTCCTTGGATTACAAATCCAGATATTATACGATGAAACGGTGTTCCCTTATAATGTAAAGGCTTTCCGCTTGAGGATTTTCCCTTCTCTCCTGTGCATAAAGCTCTGAAATTTTCTGCAAAAAAAAAAACAAAGAAATCTAACATGAGAAACTATCTAACAAAATCAATCGTATCCTGAGATATGCATTCAAGATGCCAAAGACATACCAACGGTTTTGGGTACAACAGTGCCATATAGTCCGATCACGATCCTGCCTGCAGTTTTGAATTACAAAAAGCAAAATCAATAGAAGTTGAAGGAAGCAAATGGCAAAGAAGATATACCAAGAACCCATGCATGTCAATATATCAGTCTATCTACCTAAGCGTTGGCCATCAATATCAACATCGAGAAATACCCTGTGGGTGATTTCGTGATCTTCGATTATTTGCTTCTCCTCATCCTAAACATCAAGAGAGCAAAGAAATCAGGCACAACATTCTGCTGCTCCTCCATTGAACCTTCTCACACTAACCAACCCACCGAATATTCAACAGAGAGAAACCTAACAAATATGCTACATTATATATGTCAGACCCCGAAAACAGAAAGCTAACACTAGTTCACTAGTTCAACAATGTGATCCTGGCAGAATAATCAAAACCATCATAAGAAGAAATTAACAAGCATGTGGCATGGATTCAACTTCTGTTTAACCTTCTCACACTAAGTGAAGCACATATAGTATTCAATATAGACCAGGAAAATAGAAAGCTAACACCAGTTTTAAAATGTGATCCTGGCAGAATAATCAAAACCATCCTCAAGAAATTCACAAGCATTGACATTTACATGACTATTCTGAACACAACGAACCAACATATCACACACTATTAGCTACTCTTGTGAACTCACTTAAACACTTCAATGCACTTGGAGACATAATGTTAAATTTGAATCAAAGAGTGACAATGCATAACTAAATCCAAGCAACACTAAACAGCAAGTAATTTCGGAAGAGAATCAGATCTCTCATAAAAAATTACTAATTTCGATATTTCTGTATGTGAAAATCAAGGAAACTCCAATCAAAACACAAAAGCAGTTCTCAAACAGATCCACATGAGAGTGGAACAAAACTTGAGAGACAACATCAAAATGGGTCGGAGAAAAAAAAAGGTACTTTTCCGGTGTTAGAGAGAGCGAAGACGAGGAAAACAGTAAGGGCAACGAGGAGAAGAAGGCATCTGGGCTGTAGCAAAAACGAGATCTCTCTACGCATCTTCGTTCTTCTTCTTCCTTCTTAAGAATTATTCATCTCAGGCCAACAAAATTAACTCAGAAGGGAAAAAACTCAAAAACTTCACTCTTGTTAGATCTCTCTCTCTCTCTCTCTCACTGAGTCTCTCCTTGTCTCTACTTCTATGCAATTGAAACTTGTGTCCGGTGATACAGTTTCGAAGCTGAAAGCTGAAGGAGAGGGATTGGGGATTTGTGCAAATCTTCGCGGCAATCAAAATTTCACTAACATAAGTCGACGAAATCGATCTCAATTCCAGTGTGTTTTAGTTCTTCGCGGAAGATGATTTGTTTTGAGATTTGATATGGGCCTAAATACCGAATAACGGCCCATTAAATTTTAATGTTTTCAGTTAATATCAAATCAATTATGGGCTTTTATTTGGCTACTTATGGGCTTTTATTTGTATATTGCAATTTACGTGTTTCAATTGCAAAAAATGGAGGGCATATCTAAAACTTGTTTTGTTTGGATATAGACATATAGTAGAAGTGTTTCCAAATTTGATATCTTTTACATTTTTAGTAAATACTATTATATACTAATGTTGCTATATTTTTGTTGTTGTTATTTTCGGTTCATTCTCGGCTTTTGAGCTAAAAAGACAGATACCTGATATTATTTGTTACTTTCTTACGTTTTTTTTTCTATTTTGTCGGCAAATATAATATTATCATGGTAGATATCAAACTTCCAAGTTTCCTACAAAAGAACAAAAATATATTTGAATGAGGGATAAGTCTCTGATGCAGCGTAGCATCGAACCTTGATGGGCTTCTTCATGGATTTTACTTGCCCATCAAGTTACGGTTTTAATTATTGCATGGTTTTCTTTTATTCTTTTTCTAGAAGATAAATTCATTATTCTGTTAAGAATAGGATTAGGATTTGTTTTTTTATTTGAGTTTATCCATTCTACTTCTCTATTAATATAGAGTCGTAGCTCATTTGTAAATCAGTTTTTGAAAAGCATTAATCAGAAAAGACCAAAAAGAGGCAATTTCAATTGCCCATAAATCTGAGCTTGCCTTGTATAAGACAAGAGAGGAGGACTCTCACTTCGTCTCTGTGATATCACCTTGTGTGATCTCACTTTCACTTCAGTTTCATTCATCATCTCTTGTTACAACACCAATCTCTTTCTTACGGATCCGCTGCCGTATCAGTTGGTATCAGATTCAGAACGTTCTGGGTTTTGATCTTCTTTCTTCATACGATATCATGTCGCCGGCAAAGAAAGACGATGATCACGCCATGAATTGGGCAGAACTTCGTTCTACCTTACTCACGATGCACGAGTCCATGAACGCCACGATTCAGACTTCCATCCAATCATCAATGCGAGAGTTAGGAGACACGCTAGCACAACACCTTCAATCACGAGGCCACAGAGAAGACAGAAGAGAGGAAACACTTGAGGGTAACCCGTTTGCTCATCATCGACATGATCACAACAACGAACTTGTGGTTCGTAGACAAGACACTCGCGACTCGCGTTGGGAAGCTGGATTCAAAGTTGACATTCCCGAATTTAGTGGTGGAGTCCGTGGTGATTCATTAATCGACTGGTTAGTGACAGTGGAAGAGATCCTTAGCTTCAAACAAGTTCCACACGATAGACGTGTTGCCCTTGTCGCAACGAGATTTTGCGGTCATGCGGCGTCCTGGTGGCAGCAACTTAAACTCACTCGTGCTCGCACAAATAAGTCACCGATTGATTCATGGGACAAATTGCAAAGGAAGCTCAAGGAGACGTTCTTACCACACAATTATGATCGCACCATGTATACGAGACTTCAAAATCTCAAACAAGGAAGCCGCACAGTCGATGAGTATGCCGAAGAATTCTATGTCCTTCTTACACGAAATGACATCAATGATAGTGCACCTCAGCTCGTTTCTCGTTTCATTGGAGGCTTGAGGCCACAGTTACAAAACTCTTTAGCCCAATTTGATCCCACTTCAGTCGCCGAAGCTCACCGTCGTGCCGCATCTTTTGAACTGCAACATCGTTCGTCAAATTGGAGTAGTTCGTCCAACAGATCACGACCTCCTGACCCTACAAGCACCACCGCCGACGCCAGCCCTCGTGACACCTCGGAAGCTCACCCTACCGTTCCTCGTCCGGCCCAGTCGCAAGAGGAGCAACAACTACGACGCTCTACCCGTAATGCCCTCTGTTGTTATAGCTGCGGAGAACCGGGTCACCGCCAGACCTCGTGCCCCAACAAAACCAGACGTGGTCTTCTTGCAGGAGAGAACGAGCCGGATCAAGAACCTCTTTATGATTCCGCAGGAGAAGAACACACGGACGATGGCGAGACTGTCCTCCCATTGGTGCGTCCTACACGTGGTGATAATGGACCATTGTTACTTGTGAGCCGTACGTGTTTGGTGCCCGCAGCCAAAACAGATTTATGGTTGCGTACTAACATTTTTCGATCCACCTATACGATTAAGGGACGTTTGTGTGCTGCAATTTGCAATTTTAATATTGATTCAGGTAGCTCTCACAACATTATTGCTGAAGAGGCGGTTCGCAAATTAGGTCTTCCTGTGGAGATTCATCCGACGCCTTACCATCTCGGCTGGCTAACTAATGGGGTTAGTATGAGGGTTACTCACCGTTCCTTAGTGCCATTTTCGATCGGCCCGTATTACAAAGATCGTATGTATTGTGATATTGCACCTATCGATGTCTGCCATTTGCTTCTTGGACGACCATGGGAATATGACCGCAAAATAATTCACGATGGAGTAAAAAATACTTACCGTATCATATGGGAGACACACCAAATCCTCCTATTACCAGGTCGTGAGACTCCCGCAGAACACAAGCCTTCCACACCGCCGTCTCAACAGGCTCCTCCATCTTCAGCTATGCCACCGGAGCCGTCTTTATTCTGTTCCTACTCCACGTTTGAACAAGAATTTCACAAGGAGGGTTTCGCATTTGCTGTGTTAGCCAAGCGCGCTGTGACTTACACCACATTGACGTCTTCTCCCCGGTATGAATCTTTAATTCATGAGTTTGCTGATGTGTTTCCTTCTGAACTACCACCAGGCCTACCTCCTCTTAGTGACATTCAGCACCAAATTGATCTACTTCCCGGTGCTACGCTCCCAAATCGCCCTCATTACCGTATGAGTCCACGCGAACACGAAGAACTCCGTCGTCAGGTCGAAGATTTACTCACTAAGGGCTACATTCGGGACAGCCTAAGCCCTTGCGCTGTGCCAGCGTTGTTAATCCCGAAGAAAGATGGTTCTTGGCGTATGTGTGTGGATAGCCGGGCCATCAATAAAATCACCACCCGCTACCGTTTCCCTATTCCTAGGCTGGATGACTTGTTAGACCAGATTGGGAAGTCGACTATTTTTTCAAAAATAGATCTTAAGAGTGGTTACCACCAGATACGTAAACGACCCGGAGATGAATGGAAGACCGCTTTTAAGACACGGGAAGGCCTTTTTGAATGGCTTGTAATGCCATTTGGGTTGTCTAACGCACCGAGCACATTTATGAGAGTCATGAATCAAGCGCTCAGACCATTCATTGGAAAGTTTGTGGTCGTCTATTTTGACGACATCCTCATTTTTAGCACCTCCGAGGACGCACACCTTGAGCATTTGCGAGCTGTTCTTCAGGTTCTACGGCGTGAACAGTTATATGCGGGTAAGCAGAAATGTGAGTTCGGGGCCACGGAAGTTCTCTTTCTTGGCTATGTAATTTCGGATAAAGGACTGGCGGTTGATCAAGCCAAAGTCGAAGCTGTTCGCTCCTGGCCTGTTCCTCGCACCGTCACCAAAGTTCGAAGCTTCCACGGTCTCGCATCTTTTTATCGGCGTTTTGTGCACCACTTCAGTTCGATCATGGCTCCCATCACAAATTGTATGAAAGACGGTACATTTACTTGGACTACCGAAGCTGACACCGCGTTTGCCCTCATCAAAGAAAAACTCACCACCGCCCCGGTGTTGGTTTTACCGGATTTCACCATTACGTTTGAGCTACATTGTGATGCTTCAAAACTCGGGATTGGAGCCGTTCTAAGTCAGCTGGGGCGACCAGTAGCATATTATAGTGAGAAGTTGGCGGGAGCACGTAGCCGTTATAATACCTATGATGTCGAGTTTTACGCTATTGTTCAAGCAATTAAACATTGGCGTCACTACCTAGTACACCGCGATTTTGTTTTGTTTACAGATCATGAAGCTCTCCGGCACTTGGATAGCCAAGCAAAGGTTTCAGCTCGTCATGCCACTTGGATTGCATTCTTACAACAATTTACATTTTCGATTCGTCACCAGTCCGGTGCCTTAAACCGTGTAGCTGATGCTTTGAGCCGCCGTCACGGTCTTCTCACCACGATGCACAACACGGTCCTTGGGTTTGCATCGTTCGCTGACCTTTATGCCTCAAACCCATTTTTTGGTCCTCTTGTTGCCGACGTGGAGCATAATCTTTCCTCCGAATACTCCATGCAAGATGGGTTTCTTTTCTAAGGTCTTCGGGTTTGCGTTCCAGCGTGTAGTCTTCGGCTACAAATCATACAAGAACTCCACAATGAGGGGCATGTGGGTAGGGATCGCACTTTATAGTTGGTCTCCGCCACATATTTTTGGCCGTCCTTACGCAAAGATGTTGAACGGTTTGTTGAACGATGTCGTACATGTCAACAAGGCAAAGGAAAAACGTCCAACGCCGGTCTTTATTTACCCCTACCCATTCCTACCCAGCCTTGGACGGATGTTAGCATGGATTTCGTTCTTGGTCTTCCTCGCACGCAAAGGGGTAACGATTCCATTTTTGTCGTCGTTGACCGTTTTTCAAAAATGGCTCATTTTGTGCCTTGTAAGAAGACGACCGATGCGGTTAGTGTGGCTGTTCTTTATTTTCGAGAAATTTATAGGCTTCATGGTTTACCAGCGTCTATTGTTTCTGACCGGGATACTCGTTTTTTGAGTCATTTTTGGCGGTCTTTGTGGAAGCTTCTTGGTACTAGTTTGGATATGAGCACAGCATATCATCCTCAGACTGACGGACAAACGGAAGTCACCAATAGATCGCTGGGTAATTTATTGCGTTGTTTGGTCGGAGACAACAACAAGAGTTGGGATGCTAAGCTTTTTCAAGCAGAGTTTGCCCATAATCATGCCTTGAACCGCAGTCTTGGTTTCAGTCCGTTTCGGGTGGTGTATGGCATGGTTCCGCGTTGTCCTCTCGACTTGTCTACTTTACCGGATCAGACTCGCTTTCATGGTCAAGCCATTGATTTCGTGAATGATATTCAGCTGGTTCATCAACAAGTGCGTGCAAATTTGGAGACGTCTACGGCCAAGTATAAAGAAGCTGCTGACTCAAAACGTCGTGAGGTGTTGTATGAACCGGGTGATATGGTTTGGGTCATTCTTACTAAAGACCGGCTTCCTTTACGGACTTATAACAAACTGAAGAGCAAGAAGATAGGACCGGTTGAGGTTTTGGAGCGAATCAATCCTAATGCTTACCGTGTACGATTGCCGTCTCATTTGCATACGTCCAATGTGTTCAATGTGAAGCACCTCATTCCTTTCCGTGGGGACAATGACACTTCGGATTCGTGGTCGAATCCTCTCCAACCTGGGGAGACCTGATGCAGCGTAGCATCGAACCTTGATGGGCTTCTTCATGGATTTTACTTGCCCATCAAGTTACGGTTTTAATTATTGCATGGTTTTCTTTTATTCTTTTTCTAGAAGATAAATTCATTCTTCTGTTAAGAATAGGATTAGGATTTGTTTTTTTATTTGAGTTTATCCATTCTACTTCTCTATTAATATAGAGTCGTAGCTCATTTGTAAATCAGTTTTTGGAAAGCATTAATCAGAAAAGACCAAAAAGAGGCAATTTCAATTGCCCATAAATCTGAGCTTGCCTTGTGTAAGACAAGAGAGGAGGACTCTCACTTCGTCTCTGTGATATCACCTTGTGTGATCTCACTTTCACTTCAGTTTCATTCATCATCTCTTGTTACAACACCAATCTCTTTCTTACGGATCCGCTGCCGTATCAGTCTCTCTGGTTCAAATGTAATAAAACTAATTGACCACACTCGCTTAGTTGGTAGGTGAGGTGAGATATTATTTTTTTGGTATTTAGGTTGTAAAAAGGGGAGATATTTTGTTATATCATTCATTATGTCATCTCATAAGTCATAACTAACTTGAAAACAAAGCTTGAGGTATAAAATTGGACAACCAGAGGGTACCATAAAATCTTTTTCATTCCTTATTCTTATTAATCATTACTGCAGTCTTTACAGAAAATAAAATAAAATTGGACGACAATATACATAATTTTTTTGTTATTACTTGAAAATATTTAACCATATCGCAAAAAAAAAAAGTTAAAAAAAAAAAATACATCATAAGATTCAGTATTATGCTGAACCAGAGCCATAGATCGAGATAGAAACAAAATTATTAATTGGTTCCATCCCAAAAACTCTTTTATGCAAATAATTAAAAGTGCGAATTTAAAATTTATCTATAGCTAGAGCTAGAGAGACATGTTTACCCCACTTTTAATTTTTTTTTTTTTTTTTTTTTTTTTTGGACAACCCCACTTTTAATTAAAGTGCGATAGTTACTAATACTTTCATGTTTTGTATTTACGTTACAACACTTGCGATTTTTGTTTTCCTCATTTTCTCCGTCCTTTTCAACCGTTGGATCCATTTTCATACATATATAATAAAATCATTATATTACGGTATCGTCGTCGTTTTTGAATCATACAACATGGTTACATTAACATACATATATATATATATATATTTATTTATTTTTCAAAAACAAAAGAAAAATATCTTTTGTGATAAGCAAATTATGAATCTGTGATAACCTCGCCCACAAATCCGATCACTTATTTGACAAATTAATAATGATAAAAACCTTGCCCACAAGAATTGATTGAACGGATAGAAAGATACAAGTCCATATCACTTAGCTTACTGTTGGAAATCCCGATTTGGCCCCATCAAATATTCATCTCTCTTATCATATAAAACCACAACTGGCAAGTGGTTGGTTTATAAGCTTTCAAAATATATACATGTAGTAGCATAGACTCTGTGCTGTTGTTAATCTTTGATACGTCGACGGTGTATATATCATCATTTGTGTACTGATCTTATCATTTAGACCCGATGGAAGTCGAATAGCATATAGACATATATGTACCTCAATCGAATAACTCATTTTGAATGTGATGTAAAAAAATACTGGTTTTATCTCCACATTGGTCGTTCCTGCGTGATTCAATGATTTTTTTTTACTATACTGATGAACATGAACTTATCTTGGGTTTATATATATCATAGGATCGAGTCATTAGGGTAACGATGCAAATATTCGTAGTTTACATTATTAGAACTTCCTCTTGCCAAAGCAAAAAAAAAAAAAAAAAAGCTGCTTACATAAAATAAAGAGGCGGCTAATAAGGATAACATGACTAGCATCGCCTACATATCACACAAAATAATTATTACATTTTTCTAATAGAAGAAGAAGAAAACAAAAGATTTCTCTTCCAGCTATATTTTATATTCTCATCCAGCAAAGCCGTCAGGTCTCAGTAGTTGTCTATATTAGGCGTGAGAGTAAAAACAGAAAAGAAGTGTAGTTCCAGGGTTCCACAGCTCGATCGTATTTTGTAAACTAATTCATTTTTGAGTGCTACAGGTAACCGGGAAGAAAATTTTATTGCAATAGTGACATATAGTCTTCAAAATACATATATTTTATGTAATGAGATGCATACTTGAGTTGAGTTTAAAAAAAAAAAATCTAGCTTAATATTTTTATGTCGGATTTTAATTTGAAATTCTAGGTTTTGCATGAAAAGTCTTAAGAGCAACATTATAGGTAGTATGTTAGTTAGGGTATGTTACCATTAATTTAGTATAAAATTTGAAAAAGTAGAGTCTAAGAGTTTTAGTTTTGTTTTTAGTTTTGAGATGTGTTTATTGGTAGGATCTTAAGTTGGGTATCTTAGATTTTTATTTTATTTTTAAATTAAATAAATTTATAATTTGTAATATAAGAAAATTATCTTGTATTTTTCATGTATGGCTAATTTAATTGGTTTTTTTTTAACATCGATTCATCAAATTCATAATTAAGTTTGAAAATTGTTATGTCATAATTATATTATCAACTTACCCAATCCATAGAAACTAGAGAATTTTTTAGAAATACCCCTTTTGGTGTACCTCTTTTTAAAAATATCCCATTTATCTATCCATTTTCAAAAATACCCTTTTTAAATATAAAAAATTATAAAGTTTTATATAGTTTATAAGGTACTTCTATATAATAACTACTACTGGGAGATTCGATACAAATATTTTTAAATGTTTTAAATAGTTTTAAATCATTTTTATAAGTTTTATAAGGTTTTTAAAGGGTTTTTAAAAGGGTTTATACGGTTTTTATAAGGTTTTTATAAGGTTTTTATAATTTATTTTTACGCTATTTATGAAAAGTATATAAAGTTTTATAC